GACTAGAAGAGAGGGAAAGGAACAAGATGATGATGACCAGAAGAGAGAGAAAGAAATATGACACGGTAAATTCTCTTGGATTTCTTGGCAAGTTTTGATACCATCCATGCTATCCTTTCAGAGTGACTGCTGGGGTTGGGGAAGCCCACCTTTCAGTGATTCTTCTCTTACTTGTATGGCCCCCTCCAGAAACTGACACTTGGGAAATAACACCTAGACTCCAGTATCAGGTTCCACAGTTTTGTCCCCATACTATTTTGTATCTAAAAGAAATTGATGAGTAGAGTCATTCAGAATATCAGAGCATGCTGTCATCATTGTACTGGTGACCTACAGCTCTACCCCTTCTTTTCATTTTCATCAGGTGAAAATACAGGCCGTATATGTGCTAAACTGGTGCTTGGTTGTGGCAAATGAACAGGATAAGCCATCATTATCACTTTGCCAGGTGTTCTCCATGGTATGGAGTGCCTTCTGCCAGACTATGCTAATGACCCAGCCATGCCCCTATCCAGACAAAGTTAGCCTGGTCCCGGCAATCTAGTTTCGACAATCTCAAAATTATTTTACAGCAATACAAGCTGCATGAGGCTTCCCTTGAAGATGAGTCAGATACAGCATGTGCAAAATGGGGCAACCAAATCAATTCTGCCACACTTGCACGGGCTGCCTATGCCCTTCCAAGCCCAATTCAAAGTGCTGGCTTTAAACTGTACAATTTAGTTGACACAACAGTTGCAATAGTTGACACAATACGTCTCCCAGCTGTAATCTTCCTACACACTATGATCAACTTCTCCAAGTGATGATTCTAAAGAAAGCTTGGAAGTGGTAACAAGGGAGCAGGATTTCTCAGTGGTGTTCCCTCAACTGAGGAATGACTTCCACACTGAGGCCCATCTGACACCAACTTTGTCATTGTTTCAGTGCCAGGTTAAGCCAGTCTTCTCACTGAAGCATTTCAATGTCTAAATTTAGTTATTGGCTTGGTGGAAGTAGCCATACCTGGTATTCAAAGAAGTTTTTCTAACTGTTATCATGTCTGAAAAAATTGTGCATTACAGAACATTGTAATGTTTTTATTGTATCATGGTCCAGTTTAAGAACTGTTATAAAAGGACCACAGAGCTTCAGCTATTGAGTGGCACAGAAGGTAAATATATGAATAAATAAAAGTGTCCAGCTTTAAACAAGCAGTTGCTTGGGTTACTCTTTGTTTTAGTTAGATGTTTGAGGTCAATACTTTAAAATACACTAGAAAAAGGCAGGTTATATAAACCAATCCAGAGCTGAACCATGTGCTGTAGAAATGTGCATTCAAAATGATGAATACTAGTTTTATGGCTTGTTATGGATTAAATAACCTACCACAAGCTGTGGAATGTCATCCAAACCCAATCTCTCTGTCACATACCTCAGCTAGGTGGGCCACTGTATTCTGTACAAACTGAAACTTCTAGACAAGGATCATGAGTTAGCCTAATGTAGAACATGTCTATCATGATACAAGAATGGATGCAGCTCTTTCATATGTACTAAATGGCCCATATCTTGTATTCCCTGGTCATTTCTACCCTCAGAGTTATAGAAAGTTGGAAAGTTGTGGGTGTCTGGCCTGTGACACAGCTTCAGTTTCTCTAAAGGTAAGAAAAACATCTATTGATGATACTGAGGGCTATGAAAGCTAAATGAATGTTTACATCCTCCCAATGAAGATTATGCAGTAATTCTCCTGGCCTCAGAAAGATGGAAAAAGTTAGGGAGGGAGATAAAAGAAGCCAAACATATAACTAGGAATAACCAGTCTGTCAAACTTACTTTGGGCTTTTTTCCCAGTGCAAGGAAAAACAAAAGGAGAAATGCCAAATGGAAGCTCATACTGTTTATGGACAGGGTTTTACTTCAGGTTCTTCCTCATCTCTGAAAAGCACAACTTACTAACACTTCTCTGCTACTACAGTTTATAAAGCAGTGGGCTGAATAGCTGAAGTAAATATAGGGCCACAAGGAGGTGACCAGGGACAGAACATGAGAGTCTAAGGGATCAGAATGGTTACCATCATATGGTCAACGGTGGGATTTTAAGGAGGGGGGAATGGGGAAAAGCATGAAAGTTGAAGAGAATCAAGATAATGGATATAAATAGAGGGGGATATACATAGAGTGAGGCTATCATTTTACTAAAGCATAAAGAAGAAAGCCACAATGCATTACAAGAAAAGAAAAAGTAAGGAGATACCAAGAATGAACTGAAATGATGCAGAAGAATGAAAACAGTATTGGTTGCATCTAGCCAAAATATTAAGCCAGGCTTCAGGGGGATCACGGCTTAATGTGAATGAACCATGTGTGGATGCACATACTTTGTTCACCCCACTTGGCTCCACCCTTTGCTGTGAGCTGCTAAACAAACCAAGGTGGTTAATTTAGTGTGCCATCCAAATCTGGGATCCTGGCTTTTGCTGAACTTCAGAAGCCAAGAGTACAATAGGCCAGATTATTTGTTTACAAGCAAGTCAGAACCTGGGTTCGGACAACATGCTAAGGAAATTGACCTGCCTGCATGCACTAGCACAAAGTTTATTTGTAATAATCCTGAAAACAGGATTCTCATTCTTTGCATTCTATATGCCTTAACATAGGAAGCTTTGAGGAGAGAAATGTCATCATCAGAGGACAGTTATAGAAGCAGTAACCAAAAAACCTTGCACTGAGCAAAAGAGAAAAGTCATGTGCCTATGGGCATTCCAGAGACAACAGTGGCTAAGAGGCTAAAGAAAGGTGGACTGCTCAATAAACAGGATGAAATAGAGTGTGAGCATGATGGGGCTTGGGAATCAAGTGGACAGGGCCATCTTTGATAAGTGTGTACATTGCCAAAAGTCACCAAGAAATGGAGGGAAGATGTGTATAATGACTCAGGAAACCGGTAAGTGCTATTGCAGTAGTGTGAAAATACTGTAAATCAGACCTGAATAAAACATCAGAGTGCACACTGCTGCTACCAGAAGGAGGGAAAAGGTTCTGCTATGTCCAGTCTTATTCTGAAATGGAGTGAAAGAATTGCTTTAGGCAACATATTCTAGAAGGCAACATACTTTTCATTCATTTATTTATATATTAGATTTATGTCTCACTTTTTTCTTTTTAAACAACTCAAAGCAGCTTACATCATCCTCTTCCGCCTCTCAATCTTATCCCCACAACAACAACCCTATGAGGTAGGTTGGGCTAAGAGTCTGTGACTGGCCCAAAGTCACCCAGTTGGCTCCCTGGCTGAGCTGGGAATAGAACTGAGACTGCCTGAGTCCTAGTCTTAACCACTACACCACACTGGCTCTCTCACTTCCAGTCTTTACCTGCATTGTATAAAGGGAGAATAGGATAAAAAATACTCTGTCAAAACACAATATAGCCATTTACAAGGCAGAAAAAGACACAGCTATAGGGCACATAGGGAATTTGGAATCCAAACCCTTAAAAACTCTGGAGCATTTAAATTAAAGACGTTTCTAGATGAGGCTTTCATTGTGAAACTGCCCTACCTCAAGGGTGGAATGTTACATGAGGTCCAAACAAAGATCTGTTTGTAACTTTCCTGCCTTTTCCCACCACTTCTGCCTTTTTCCTACCAGATAAAAAGGCAAGCTAAGGAGGAAAAGAGGAAATAGGTGGAGAACATGTTTTGATTGGTACCACAAGGAGCCATCAGTCTGGAACTACCTTCAGTTTTATCTTGTGGAATGCTTCTTTATCACTCTTCAAACTGGGACAGTCAAAATACTGAATCTGAAACTACTTATGCTTATATGAAAAGGGTATAACTGCCATCAAATATTAGTGCTAATGTATAAAAGGAGAAAGAATCAAGCTCAGTCATACAGGAAATATGCCTAAAAATGAACCCAATGTCCTTCCCAATGCCCACAACATTTTGCTTTACAAATAACTTATTTAGTGTGATGTGGAAGAAGTATGTGGGAGGAGAAACTTGAGATGAATTACTTCCCCTGCAGCTTTTCTGAAACCAAAGTATTCACTAAGAAGAGAGGGGGAAAGCATTTCATCCAAGTGTGGAAAAGAATGAGGCCTTTTGTTTTAAAACACTGTTTTTAGTTTAACATGTTTTAAATGCTTTTGTGGTTATGCAGTCATTTTATAAGAACACTTGTATTTTGTTTTTAAAGATTCGTTTATGTTATCTTTCAAGCGAGTGCAGATGCAAACCTACTGGCAGGAGCTCTTCGTAGTGGTGATGACCAATGGCTGCCTTGCAACTGGATCTGTTATGCCAGGGGTGAACTGTGTGTGTTTCTCCAGATGTTCGACTGCAACTCCTGCAGTTCCAGGCAGTGGATCCAACCACCCCAGCCTTATGCTCCGGATAAGGTGCACAAGTAGCTCTTTGCAAGGATTCAAAATACCTCAGCCTGGCTCAGTAAGATTTGTATATGTTATTCTGAGTAGTGGCTCCCTCTGCCGTTTCACAAAATCCCCTTAGTTTTGAGATCCTTTTGACATGTGGGAAGGGTGGCTGTCACTCAAGAAGCATGTTGATCAATGCCGCTTGAGTGCATGGAATTAGTTGCACAGTCCCTTGATTGCTCAGTTAAAGTCTTCCTTCTCACAGAATGCTTAGATTAATGGCTTTAGACTTCAAATTTGTTGAGAAATTATTATAAGGCCTAAACAAACTGGCCTCTTTCCATTCACATTTTATATGTTCATCAATGCTTTTTTCCCCTTGGTATTCTAACTGACACATACATTTTTATGTGGAAGAAGGCCACATTCAAGAAGGCAAAAATATATTGACCATTCATGCCAAAGTACACTGGGCCATATGCCTGCTTTGAGTTTCACATATAAGATCTCGTCTGTCTAAGTCTCTGGTGTCAATTTTGGTTGCTTATGAAACATAAGCTGATATTATACTGAACACCACCTGTAGTGGGAAAGGGAATAGGCTATGAAGATTAAAAGCAATAAAAGTGACTTACCCACAGGACCAGTCGCTACAGGAACTGACAAGAAATCAGAATAAAAGAAAGAGATAAGTGATTAAAACATTGTTTCATATCTCTCACAATGTGTTGCAATGTGCAGAGCAATGCAAATACTCACCCGCCCATTGCTTCTTTAGTATAGGCCAGTTTCTAGAAAGATGGAAAACCGCATTTCAGGCAAGAACATGCATTTTGCATTTTTTTAAAACTTGTAGCTTATACTATACAAATCTCATTATTTTCTAGTGCAGGAGAGCCTACAGGAAGAAAGCCTGGTGCACAGGTATACAGCCATACCTGTCTGGGGAAACAAGAGACATTGATTCCTTGATTATCAATGGATAACAGATTAGATAACCCATTGGATAGTCAAGTCATCACATTGCTCAGGCGTGGTGGTTGGGGTATTTGAATGGGCACCTAAAAGGTCTGGCTTCTAGTCCCCACTCAGCTGTGAAGCTCACTGGGTGACTTTGGGTCAGTCACTCACTCTCAGCCCATCCTACTTCACAGGGTTGTTAGGAGGATAAAATGGAGCTATATAGACCACCAGGGGTTGCTTGCTTAATTAAAACTGTTTGCTTGCTTAAAACTATGAAAATAAACACCATCTGTTCTACAATGTGGGTCTCCTTTTTGAAACATCTTTTGCCTTTGTCCTTGCCTTTATTTGGGCTGCCTTCTGTGGAAGAATCAATATGCTTTGAGTGCAGAATGTGGAATGTAAACCATATTCGGAAAAAGAGAGGATCTGATTTTGGAAAACAGCTGTTCTAAATGGTGATATTGAAAAAGGCAATACCCATTTGTTAAGATAGGCAAGGGGTTTTTTCCCAAATCCACCCCGCTTCCCATGTTGGTGGGCAGCAGGGGCTGCAACGGTACGCAGGCACATGCAGTGCAGGGTGGAGGCAGGCAGCAGGAATGCTGGCTGGAGAGCGCCACTGAGCCAAGCGAAGCCATGTGTGCAACTGCAGCTCACATTTACAATTCAGATAAATGTCACTTGTGCCTGAAATAAGAGCATTTTAGAGAGCTGTTAAATTCCAAGTCTGGAAGACACATCTAGGTAGCTGCATTTCACTGTATTCCAACATGCTTCTTTGACAATGCATTAGTATATAATTTTGAGGGTTCAAAAATGTTTTTCACATTAACTTTTTTGTTTGACCAGCAGGAAATTCTAAACAATTCCACTGAACTGAATAAAGTTTAGTTTCAGGTGCCAGGCAGTCAATTCTGCTCAGTTTATTTGTATATGTAATGTCATGGCTCCATTTTTTAAAGTGTGTGTGTGGGGGGGGGGGGGTCACAAGTTATTTGGGAGCCTAAGGATAACAAGAACAGGTGTGAACCCACTGACAAGTGTACCCTTATATCCTCTGGGGCTTAGCCTTAAGTCATCAAGGGGGTGGAAAAATCAGACATTATTTCATTTTGCTTTCTTTACCTGCCCCAAGCATTCAAAATGGAGCAGGCAATCAATCTAAATTGAAACACACACACTGACAATAAGAAATCAGTAACCCTGCTTCAGTGAATTTTGATGACATGGCAGGCAAGCAGCCAATTTAATTAGGTAAATTGGTCAATATGTGCGTGAAGGCATAGTTCTTTGGAATCAAGCCATATATGTATAATATGGGACTAATAATAAATAGTATCAATAATGCTGCAACTTTAAAGGAAAACATATGCAGGTTTGTTTGTTGCCAAATCCAAGCTGTTTTGTAAGCCGACTTGAGACGTTTAGTGAAATGTTTTATTAAATTTATTAAATGCATAACGGAGACCGGGGCGGGAGAGGGGGGGAATGTTGCCCTCTCCCAACTATGCCCGCCCGGGTATCTGGTTCAGCACTGTTCGCGCCCAGAGGGGAGGGGAGGGGGGGTCGCTTTGGTTTACCGAGCCTCCATCTCCCTCACAGGACTTCCGGTCCCCTCGAGGCCGGGGCTGGAGTGCCTCTACTTGGTGTTGGGCGACCGAGACAGATTGGGGATTCTGTTGGTGTACCGTGCACCCTTCTGCCCAACAGTCTCCCTGCCTGAGCTGACGGAGATCGTCTCAGACCTGGTGTTGAGGACCCCCAGGATGTTGGTCCTGGGGGACTTCAATCTCCATGCCGAGACTGATCTGACCGGGGCGGCTCAGGACTTCATGGTCTCCATGGCGGCCATGGGGCTGTCTCAACATGTCATCGGCCCGACCCATGAACGTGGACACACCCTGGACCTGGTTTTCTCGACGGGACAGGAAGAGGGTGGTCTGAGGGTGAGGAATTTATGTCTGACTCCCCTGTCATGGTCAGATCACTTCCTGGTGAGGTTTGTGCTCGAGAGTGACTTCTCCCTCTGTAAGGGTGCAGACCCGATTGTGTGGGTCCGCCCCCGGAGCCGGATGGATCCGGAAGGATTCCTGAAGGCCCTGGGGGAGTTTCCGGCTGACAAGACGGGTGCTCCTGTCGAGGCTCTGGTCGAACTGTGGAATGGGGAGATGACCAGGGCTGTAGACACGATCGCTCCTAAGCGCCCTCTCCCACCGGGCAGAGCCCGCTCTTCCCCTTGGTATACCCCTGAATTGAGGGCGATGAAGCAGGTTGGGAGACGGCTAGAGCGTAGGTGGAGGAAATCACGTGATGAATCTGACCGAACACACTTGAGAGCCCACTATCGGGCCTATGCTGTGGCAGTGAGGGCGGCGAAAAAGAGATATTTTTCCGCTTCCATTGCCCCCTCACAATGCCGTCCAGTGGAGCTTTTTCGAGTGGTGCATGGCCTGGTTTGTCCAGGTCCGAAAGAAGACCTGATTCCACCCTCAAAGGCCCGCTGTGACGACTTTGCCAGGCATTTCAGGGAGAAAATCGCTCAGATTCGTCACGAGCTGGATTCCACTATTGATACAGAGGCTTTAAGGGAGACGCCAATGCCGCCGTCTGGTCCAGAATTATTGGATGAATTTCAGTTACTGCGGCCCGATGATGTGGACAAGGTGCTTGGACGAGTACGTCCCACCACTTGCTTATTGGACCCTTGCCCATCTTGATTAATAAATAATTCCAAGCATGGGATTGGGACCTGGATTTTGGAAGTGATTAACGCCTCTCTGAGGGAGGGTCGGGTGCCTGCCCCTTTAAAGGAGGCGGTAGTCCGACCGGTCCTGAAGAAGGCATCACTGGATCCAGAGATGGCCACTAATTATAGACCAGTGGCCAACATCCCGTTTCTGGGCAAGGTGTTAGAGCAAGTGGTGGCGGGACAACTCCAAGCACTCTTGGATGAAACTGATTATCTGGACCCATTTCAGTCCGGCTTCAGACCCGGGTACGGTACTGAATCTGCCTTGGTCGCCCTGTACGATGACCTGTGCAGGGAGAAAGACAGGGGGAGTGCGTCCCTGTTGGTTCTCCTGGACCTCTCAGCGGCTTTTGATACCATCGACCATGGTATCCTTCTGGACAGGCTTGCGGGATTGGGGGTTGGAGGCACTGCTTTGCAGTGGTTCTGCTCCTATCTCGATGGCCGGTTCCAGAAGGTGGTGCTGGGGGACTATGGCTCTGCGCCATGGCAGCTATGCCATGGAGTGCCGCAGGGGTCCATTCTGTCCCCATTGCTGTTCAACATCTACATGAAACCGCTGGGAGAGGTAATCAGGAGGTGTGGGCTGTGGAACCATCAGTACGCTGATGACACCCAGCTCTACCTCTCGTTTTCCACCAATCCAGGTGAGGCAGTGGCTGTACTGAACCGGTGCCTGGCCGAGGTAATGGGCTGGATGAGGGCCAATAAACTGAAGCTCAATCCAGACAAGACGGAGGTCCTGTTGGTTGGTGGTTCTGGCTTTGGAGAGGGTGAACTGAACCTTGTTCTGAATGGGGTTGCACTCCCTCTTAGGGACAAGGTTCGCAGCTTGGGAGTGCTCCTCGACCCAGAGCTTTCACTAGAAGCTCAGGTGACCGCAGTGGCGAGGAGCGCTTTCCTCCAGCTTCGGCTGATCCACCAGCTGCACCCCTATCTGGAGTATGACTGCCTTGCGACAGTGACACATGCATTGGTGACTTCCCGTCTCGACTTCTGTAACGCGCTCTACGTGGGGCTACCCTTGAAGACGGTCCGGATACTTCAACTGGTTCAAAACAGAGCTGCCAGGCTGCTGACGGGGACTGGGCGTTGTGTTCACATGACTCCAGTTCTCCATCAGCTTCACTGGCTCCCCATTGAAGTCCAGGCCCAATTCAAGGTGTTGGTGATGACCTATAAAGCCCTAAATGGCTTGGGTCCTGGTTACCTGAAGGAGCGCTTGCATCCATATATGCCCAGCCGCCCCTTGAGATCGGCGGGGGAGGCTCTTCTCCGGGAACCCTCCATGAAAGAAATTAGGAGGGTGGGTACACGGAGGAGGGCTTTATCTGCGGTGGCGCCTAAGTTATGGAACGCGCTCCCCAGAGAGGTCCGCCTGGCGCCGTCGTTATTTGTTTTTCGGTGCCAGGCGAAGACCTTTTTATTCAAGCGGCATTTTAACTGTTAACATTATTGGTTTTATCTGGCCAGGGCGGCTTATTTTATACTGTGTTGCTGTATTTTAATTTTATATTTATATTTTAATTTATATAATAATTATTTTAATTTATTGATGTGAGCCGCCCCGAGGCTTCGGCGAATGGGGCGGCATAAAAATGTTTTAATAAATAAATAAATAAATAAATAAATAGTCTCCATGCCAATAAAAATATCCTGTGCTAAGCAATATGAAGGAAACAAGCTATAATACTTTTTTTAGTTGTCAGTCCTTCATTTCAGAGGGCAGTTTTATCAAGTTGTATTCAGTTTCCTAGTGACAGATTTTATTTTCCTGGGCTCCAAGATCACTGGAGATGGGGACTGCAGCCAAGAAATTAAAAGACGCTTGCTCCTGGGGAGGAAAGCTATGGCAAATCTAGATAGCATACTACAAAGCAGAGACATCACCCTGCCAACAAAAGTGCGTATAGTCAAGGCTATGGTTTTCCCAGTTGCAATGTATGGCTGTGAAAGTTGGTCCATAAGGAAGGCTGAGCGCCAAAGAATTGAGGCCTTCAAATTGTGGTGCTGGAGGAGACTCCTGTGAGTCCCTGGGACCGCAAGGTGATCAAACCGGTCAGTCCTAGAGGAGAC